CACGCGCCACCATGCCCAGCTAATTTTTTGTAGTTTTTAGTAGAGACGGGGTTTCACCGTGTTGACCAGGATGGTCTCGATCTCTTGACCTCATGATCCACCCGCCTCAGTCTCCCAAAGTGCTGGGATTACAGGCATGTGCCACCACACCCGACCTAGACACTTTAAATGGATATAATATGGTATATAATTTATATTCCAATAAAGCCTTTTAAAAACGGGTTATATAAAACCATACAATTTTTCAGTTTGGTACATCTTCAGTTTGTTACATTAATTATCACCTAATAATGTTTTGTTTAACAAAATTCCAATGAAATACAGTGGCTTGAAAAGGAAAACTTAGACACCTAAAATTACCTCTGACTGAACTACTGGATATGGGATGTGAACTGTTTCACAAACTATTTTCCTGAAAAAAATTTCACCATTGTGTAATTCTTCACTGAAGTTAAAGACCTTCTATCTACTCTACTTTTTAGAAGTAATTGTTAAGGGACATAGTGACCAATAAAATAAAAAAAAAAACCCAAACAACCTATCCTAACCAGTTAACTTTTAATACTTTTCAACTTTGTTGTTCTAACAGTTTACATGAAATAGTGTTCTTAAGTCAACTAGGGTCCTACCAAAGTAGTAACAGTTACGTGTTCATGAACACTCTTCTCCCTTCAGTGGCAGTTATAAAGCTTCCCAGGAAAGAGAAGTACGACTTTTTCCATACCCCTCGGCTGTAAGTGTAAGTTACTTGAAAACCACCAGCTATGTAATTAGAAGTTCAAAGATCAAGTTGTCACCCACCTTTAATAACTGTTCAAGACTTTACCATACTGGGAGGAAACTGTTTTGCTTGGCTTCATATTACTATTTGACTACATTTATTTTTCCTGATAATTTCCCTCTATATAAACTGTATTACATGTAGTTGCCTGAAATCCTTTTTGGAATGGTGGTGTATATTTATAAGTTTTAAACAATTTAATCCACATTAAATTTGTTCCAGTTGGGTTTGGTGGCTCATTCGTGTAATTTCAACAGTTTGGGACTGAACCAAACCTGCAGGGCAGGGGGAATGGTTTAAGCCCAGGAATTTGAGACTAGCCTGGGCAACACAGTGAGATCCTATCTCTAAAAAATAAAAAATTAGCTGGGCATGGTGGCACACCTGTAGTCCCAGCTACTACAAGAACAAAATAAATTTTGTTCTTGCTCTTATAACCAGGCTGGAGTGCATTGGCTTGATCATAGTTTACTGCAGCCTCAAACTCCTCAGCTCAAAGGATTCTCTTACCTCTGCCTCCTGAGTAGCTAGGGCCACAGGTGCATGTCACCATGCCCAGCTAATCTGTCAATTTTTTTTGTAGAGATGGGGTCTTACTATGTTGACCAGACTTAAGTGTGTTTTAGATTACTCTATAATAACATAGCGTTATGTTATTTTTAAAAATTGAAAAGTTTTCCATTTCAGCTAAAAAATTCAAGCAAACTATAATTGTATTGAAATAACCATAATGAAATTAGGATACAGAATAGAAGAATATTCAGAGTGATTAAAAGTAAAGGGTCTGGAGATAGCCTACATTCAAAGATCAGCTCTGTCACTTAGTTCAATGACTTGGGGCATGTTACATAACCTTGATTAACCTTTGTTTCCTTGCCCATTAAATAAAGATAATAAGTTAACCTCATAAACTTGTTGTGAGGATCAACTGATAGAATGCACATATGCACATAAAGTACTTAACACAGTACATTAGCACAGTAAGCATTCAGTGAATGTTAGTTATTCCTATGCTTTAACCCAGGAGTCCCCAAAACCCTAGGTCATGAACCAGTACTGGTCCATGACCTGTTAGGAAGTGGGCTACACAGCAGGAGATAAGCTATGCTTCCTGTCATATCAGCAGTGGCATTAGACTCTCATACGAGTGTGAACCCTATGAACTGGGCATGTAAGGGATCTAGGTTGTGTGCTCCTCATGAGAATACAGTGCCTGATGATCTGAGGTGGAACAGTTTCATCCTGAATCCATGCCCTACCCCAACCCCATCTGTAGAAAAATTGTCTTCCATGAAACCTGTTCCTGGTGCTAAAAAGGTTGGGGACCACTGCTTTAATGGATAGTTTTGTAACAGGCTAGCTTGGTCATTTAACATAAATATAACTGTGTCACTGTCCCCTATTAACATCTGGAGCCAGTCAGAATCAGTAATAGAAAAGGATGCTCTTAGGATTTAGTTTCTAACTTCTACTTTGAATTTACATGCGGTATTTATTATATTGCAATAATTCATGGAATGCTGAAGATTATTAAGGAAGAAAATCAGTTGGAAACATGATCTTAGGCATGAAAATTTAGTTTTTAAGTTTTTTTGGTCAACATGTAAGGATTAACTAGCATATACAGCTATCAAAATGAGATAAAATAATATATTGTTTTACCTCTTTTGGTATGTAAAAATGTTGCATGATGAAGTCAAAAAAAGACGTTAATAATCCTAGGGGGGATTCAGAGACCCTTAAGGGAGGTAGGTGGGTGGGCACAAAGTCTATTTCATAATATTAAGCTATTTGTTTTTTTTTTACTCGCATTATTTCATGAATGTTCAGTGTAGTTTTACAAAGGTAATATGATGTGTTATTTCAAAACAAATTGAGTACAGAAGCAGATACAAGAATACAATTATCCTCTATTAAGCCAGAAATTAAAAAGATTTCCAAAAAGGTAGAAGAAAAGAAAGCAAGGCACTCTCATCATTAAATTTGTCTTACAGCATTTATTTCACAAAATGTTTCACACATAATAAATTTATTGTGATTTTTAAATGAATTATTAAAAATACGTTTTCAAAGGAATTGTCCATAAATACAGCCCACATAAGCAAAAACTCTTTAGGGTGCTCAATAAATTTTAAGAACACAAAAAAGGTCTTGAAAGACCAAAAAGTTAAAGAACCACTCAACGCAATTTTTGAATTATAAAAAAAAGAATATAACAAATTCATATAAATACGTTAGGTGTTGAAACCATAACAGGTACGAGTAACATTGCTTTTTAAACCTAATGTTTAAAAAGGTAAAAACAATAATTTAAAAATCCGCAAAATTTGGCTGAGCATGACGGCTCCGGTCTGTAATCCCACCCCTTTGGGAGGCCAGGCAGGAGGACTGGTTGGGGCTAGGAGTTTGAGACCAGCTTGTGGGGGGGGGTGGGGAAATCAGCAAAAAAAAAATTTTTTTTTTTGGTACGGAATCTTTTTCAGTTGCTCAGCCTGGAGTGCAATGGCGCAATCTTAGCTCACTGCAACTTCCACCTCCCGGTTCAAGTGATTCTCTGGCCTCAGCCTCCCAGTAGCTGGGTTACAGGCTTCAGCCACTATGCTTGGCTAATTTTTGTATTTTTGTAGAGACAGCAGGTGTTTCACTATGTTGGCCAGGCTGGTCTCAAACTCCTGATCTCAGGTGATCTGCCTATCTCGGCCTCCCAAAGTGCTGGGATTACAGCCATGAGCCACAGTGCACAGCTAGCAGAATTCATTTTAAAAACCTTTCATGCCAGGTGTCATGGCTCACACCTATAATCCCAGCACTTTGGGGGGCCGAGGCAGGCAGATCATGAGGTCAAGAGATGGACACCACCCTAGCCAACATGGTGAAACCCTGTCTCTACTCAAAATGCAAAAATTAGCACATGCCTATAGTCCCAGCTACATGGGAGGCTGAATTGCTTGAACCCAGGGAGGGAGGGGAAGTGGAAGTTGCAATGAGCCAAGATTGTGCCACTGCACTCCAGCAGTAATGGAGCAAGACTCTGTCAAAAAAAAAAAAAAAAAAAAAAATCTTTCAGATTGGCCAAGCGAGGTGGCTCACTCCTATAATCCCAGCACTTTGGGAGGCTGAGGTAGGAGGAGCGCTGTCAAGGCGAGAGGATCACCTGAGGTTGGGGGTTCAAGACCAGCCTGGCCAACATGATGAAACGTCATCTCTACTAAAAATACAAAAATTAGCTGTGTGTGGTGGCATGTGCCTATAATCCCAGCTACTCAGGAGGCTGAGACAGGAGAATCACTTTGGGAGGCAGAGGTTGCAGTGAGCCAAGATCAAGCCACTTGTACTCCANAAAAAAAAAAAAAGGAAAAAGAAAAAGAAAATAAGAAAAAACTTTCAGATTAATCTAAGTATAAATAAAAGTAATGGTAGTGCTCACTTCAGCAGCACATGTACTAAAATTGTGAACAATACAGAGAAGAAAATTACCTTAAAGGAAAAAAAAGGAAAAGGTAAATAAAAACCTACGACTGAAAAGGCGTTGAATAAAATACTACAAAATTTTGAGAGACGACAGATGTCTTTTAATGGTGGGACTATAGAAGTACCCTCCTCTTTTGTAGTTTTCTGCATTTTCTTAACTAAATCTTTATTGCTTATAGAAGTAGAAATGTTTTTAAACATTAAATTGAGGTACAAAGTGAACTAAGATGAGTTTAAACAGTTCTTATATGAGCCAAGGTTAGTGTATACCTGAGGTTAGTTAAACACCTCCATCCCTTGGAAAAATGTTAACATATTAATAATATTAAGTATTATCTGATTGTCATTCAGTAAAACAGTAATCTAATGACCTGAAAGGTTAGGGTTTCAAACTGCTTTTAACTTGGTAAATTTCAACCCAATTTTTTTTTTTTTTTTATTTTTTTTTTTTTTTTTTTTTTTTTTTTTTTTTGAGACAGAGTCTCACTCTGTTACCCATGCTGGAGTGCAGTGGCATGATCTCAGCTCACTGCAACCTCTGCCTCCTGAGTTCAAGTGATTCTCCTGCCTCAGTCCCCCGAGTAGCTGGCATTACTGGCATGTGTCATCATGCCTGGCCAATTTTTGTATTTTACTAGAGGCAGGAGTTTTACCATGTTGGCCAGGCTGGTCTCAAACTCCTAACCTCAAGTGATCGTCCCACCTTGGCCTCCCAAAGTGCTGAGATTACAGGTGTGAGCCACCATACCTGGTTTAACCCAATATTTAACATTATTGTATTACTTAAATAAAAATCCTCAGGTATTAGAAAATAAAACTATTATCTATACATTCTTCAATCCATGCATGATTAGTATAAATGAAACATTTAAATTCAATTATCTCTACACATTATAAAATGTTTCATAATCAGTGAATGATTATGAAATCCACAAATCCATACAGTTAAAACTGAACTAGTAATAGTAACAAAAATTAATTTTTGAAAATTTGTGCTTACCTACTATACTCTTTTCTGGAGCTGGTGGCACAATATAACCAATGTGTAAATACTTGCTTGCCAATTTGCTGTGCAAACCAAGAAAGTCGCTGAATCTTCTTTTCACTGAAAATTCACTCTTACTGAACATGGAAAGAGATGTCTACAAGTGAAGAAGTATTTCAAGTTTTGAATAGTAAGCAGTATTTCACCAGTTAATGTTATACATAATTGTGAGCACACACATATATCTACCTTGCAAAAGAATGCAGAGTATCTAATTAGTGTGGTATAGAGATTTTAAACTAAAAAAATCTAAATCATAGATGTATTTTACAGAAACTTAATAGGACAAAAAAGTATTTGCATTATTCTATCTTAACTGATCTTATTCACACTCTATGCTAAAAATTCTTAAATATTTACATTGGGGCCAGATATCTTTGAAAGCTTCAGTCCAATATATCCAAATACCTCTCCACTTAAATCTCATTGGCACTTCAAACTCACCATATTTCCCCCTGCTGAAACACAAGTTCTATAAGACACCACCCTTGTCTGTATTGTTTACTACTATAACCTAGTGCTTGCAATAAAGCTTGACACCATGGTAGGTGTTTAATGAATATTTACCCTATGAATTAACAACTGTCATCCCTACTCTCACTGTGTTCCTGCCTGTGTTGCCTTTCTCCGTGGATAACTCTCACAGTTGCAAAGTCCCTCTAGTCAGTAACAGGCATCCCTCTCCTTCCTCACCCCTTATATCCAAGTCCTGTCAATTCTACCTCCTACATTAACCCAAGAAGCCAGTTATTTTGCTCATCTCCAGGACCATTTTCTTAATATAAAGTATTACAGCTCATAGCTAGAATTGCTGTGAAAGACACTCTCTTTTAAGATTTGAAGGCCTACAATCCTTTAATCATTACAGTGTCCTTTTAACTGGAAATTATGATCTCTATTTTGACCCTGCCAATTCACGCTGAGGCCAAAGAAATCTTTCTAAAACAAAAACCTAATTGTGCCACACTCTTTTATTTTTTTTGGGGTATATAAACTATTTATTAACAGACAAGGCCTAAAGACTTATTTCTTCTTGGATACAGCCATGGCAGCCAGTGGTCTTGGTGTGCTGGCCTCGGACACGAAGGTCCCAGAAGTGGCGAAGCCCTCTATGGGCCAGAATCTTCTTCAGTCGTTCCAGGTCTTCACGGAGATTGTTGTCCAGACCACTGGCAAGGACCTGGCTATATTTTCCATCCTTTACATCCTTTTGTCTGTTCAAGAACAAGTCTGGGATCTTGTACTGGCGTGGATTCTGCACAATGGTGATCACATGTACCACCTCATCCTCAGCGAGTTGTCTCGCCCTCTTGGTGAGGTTAATGTCTGCTTTCTTCAACACCACATGAGTGTATCTTCAGCCCACACCCTTAATGGCAGTGATGGCAAAAGCTATTTTCTACCGCATATCGATGTTGGTGTTGAGTACTTGCAAAATATGCTGGAACTTTTCAGGGATCACTAGAGACATGGGGGCAGCACAAGCAGCAGCGTGTAGGCCTCCTGTGGAAGCTTTGAACTTCTTTAATGGCTCTCCATTATACTTAGGAATGAAGCCAAACTCCTTAAAATGTGGCTGCTCATTATAGACAAAGGCTTACTGCCAAACAATTCAATCTTGCATCACTTCTTAGAGATTCTAGAAAGCATAATGCTTTCTTGACTTTTGCACAAGCAAATTCCTCACCTGGAACACGCATTCTTCTTCCTCCCCCTCTCCTTCCCTATCATTTCCCACACCTATGTCTTGGCTTAGGCATCCTGAGGTCTAAATTAGGTCCCATCCTGCATACTCTCACTGAACACGCTACATATCAAACTACTTACAACTCGTTGTAATCACTTCTTGGCAATCTTTATTATGTGGTAACCTTTATAAAGACAGGGATCACTTCTACCTTAATCATAGCCATATCCTCATACTACACATAGTGAGGGCTCAATACTTTTTTTAAAAGCACAGAAGCTCACCTTTGTTGTTACTCTATATGCCATATAGGCATTCATGCCATCACCTACAAAAAAAGTCAAACACTGCTATTAAAATCACATGCATAAAAATAAAAATCATTTAATACTATACCGATGTATTAAGAAAAACAGTACAAAACCACCAAATTAATAAAAAGTGAATACAAAATACAATAAATATTGACTCACCGACTTTCTCTGGATCTGATACACCAATTTCTATGTCAAAAATATCTCCATTTGCTTCTTCTTCAATCTAGAAAGTATAATTTTTTTGGCATTAAATATTATAATTTATTGTCATGATATTAAACTAATTTTTGTCATCTATTTTCTGTAAGAGTCACTGTCACAACCAATAATTTAGCCACTCAGCACTTCATTTCTGAAAGACAATGAAAACTTTCACATTTCTTGACTTTGTAAATAAAATACACACACACACACACACACACACACACACACACACACACATACACACACACATGCACACAGAAGACCATTTGGAGAAGTAACAATTTTTTTTTTAAAGACACAGTCTCACTCTGTTGCCCAGGTGCTGTGGCTCAACCTCAGCTCACTGTAACCTCCGCCTCCCGAGTTTAAGCAATTCTCATGCCTCAGCCTCCCAAGTAGCTGGGATTACAGGTGTCTGCCACCACACCTGGGTGATTTTTGTATTTTTAGTAGAGACGAGGTTTCACTATGTTGGCCAGGTTGGTTTCGAACTCCTGACCTCAGGTGATCTGCCTGCCTTGGCCTCCCAAAGTGCTGGGATTATAGGCGTGAGCCACTGTGACTGGCCCAAAATCTTGTGTTTTTATAATTCCTCAGATGTAGAAAAAATGTTTTAGACTTTTTGTACAAATACTGTGGAATTTTTTGTTCTATACGCTGAATCTTCAGATTCAGATTTAAAAATTACGACCTTAATTTTAATACTAGCATTTTTCTAAGTTGTATCTCTACTCTAAAAACAAGGAGGTAGGTAGTCACTACTCTCACCAGCAGAACCTTACAAACCAGCATAAGTGATTATACTGAAAAGCAACTTTAGCATCAAGATTTCTCTAATTATCTAATAAACGTTCTTCTGGAAGCCAAGGAAAGCACTATACACCTCATTGAAAAAGCAGTAAGTGGGAAAAATGATAACCCTATGAGACTTCATAGAAGCCCTTGTAAATGCCATTATAAATAAACAATCCAAACAGTAGCTCTGCAGGAAAGCTTCATTATTCTCAAGCAGAAAGCTCAGAGATTATTCAACTTTGTGAATTTTTGAAAGCAATTATTAATAGCCTAACACTCTCTAAATGAAAAGTGTTTCTAACCATACTTATTTTATTTCAAGGTTGTCTTCTTAGATATTTTTAAAGTAAAACTTTGAAAAATCATTATATAAAAAGTATATAAATTCTAAGTGTACAGTTCAGTAAACCTTCATAAAGTGAACACATCTTTGTAACCAGAACCTAGATCAGAAATAAGCATCATCACTACAGCCCAGGAGGCCCTCTTATGCTTCCCCTCCAGTAACAACCCATTCTTTTTTTTTTTTTTTTTTTTTTTTGAGACAGAGTCTCACTCTGTCTCTCAGGCTGTAGTTCAGTGGCATGATCTCGGCTCACTGCAACCTCTGCTTCCTGGGTTCAAGCAATTCACCTGCCTCAGTCTCCTGAGTAGCTGGTATTACAGGCATGAGCCACCATGCCCAGCTAATTTTTGTATTTTTAGTAGAGACGGGGTTTCACCATGTTGGTCAGGCGGGTCTCGACCACCTGACCTTGTGATCTGCCCGCCTTGGCCTCCCAAAGTGCTGAGATTACAGGCATGAGCCACTGTACCTACATTCTTTACCTGCCAACATAACCACTTCCCAGACATCCAACATCGTACCTTAGTTATACCTGCTTTTAAAGTTCATATATTATAATTATATAGTATTCTTCTATGTCTTACTTCTTTCCCTTAATATGTTTGTGAGATTATTCATATTTTTTTGGTGTTGTTGTTACTAAATTATGGTCATCTTAATGACATATTTCCATGAATAACTTTTAAATATATAACTGCCATTAAAATAACCTCCACATAATTTTTCTTTTCCAAATTCACCTTGTCAGAAATTAATGCCAAATTAAGAGAATGTACCTTTAACTGATATATATTCCCCCTTCTTTTTCAATAGCAACCTTTAAGTATTAACAGTATTTATTGAAAATTTTATCAAATAAATTTACTCAAAATATCACTTTTCTGTGATTAACCATTTTCAAAGCACTTTTATATACCATCTGACCAACAGAGGAACCTGGGGAAACACAAACTATCATCATAAAGTCAGAAATGACAAACTCCTTCAACTTAAGAAGGTAGATGATATGCCCAGGTCACTGGGTAGAATGGGGGAGATAAAATTAGAAGCCAGATCCCATAACTTACTTAGTTCAATGTTCTTTTCCCAAAATGTCTGAAAGGCTTTGATTAGAAATGACTAACAGGAGAGTGATGTTGGGTGGGGGGAAAAACGTATATATTTACATATTAATTTAGAATACACTTTCCTGTACCTCTTCCCTGGATCTATCAAAGATCACGGGAGCAGACATACTCTTTGATTCAATTCTAGGAGCAATGAGTGTAGTAGGAGTGACAGGTGTGACTGCAGGAGAAGGTTCCGAGGAGAGGATAGGTTCCCTTTCAGGGCTGTCCAAAGAAACTTCTTCTGTGGCTTCTAGACATAGATTAAACAAATTAGTTAAGAACACTGGCAACAAAACCCCCCATATTCTACATAGCAGTTAATGGATTATAAAAAAATATTTTTATATTACCCACAAATATCGAAAATGTCATTTAAAAATAATTGTCACAAAGGAATTTTATGCATCCTTCCTTTATCATAAAGTTAAAACCAACTGTAACTTTGTTAGTTTTAGAAAGAATCCTATTAAGTTAGCTTAATTATCTACACTAGTGGTAGGGATAAGGCTGAAAGAAAAGCAATGATGTAAATGATTCCACATTTGTGTTTGGATTTGTAACATATATGTGGTAACTTACCTTTCAAATATGTATTCACACTAATATTATGATTATTTTATACATATAAACAAAAATTTTATGGCAGAAGTCTGCCCAGAAGTATTTCAACTTGGATTAAAAACTGGCTATGGAAAACCCACAAAGTTAGTAATCTAAAGCAATTAATTGCTAAAGGTTATTGGATATTAGTTGGACACACACATATAACACAAAGCAAACAGGTATTTAGGTTTTAAATTAAAATACCCACTCACTTGAAAAATCTAGTACTAATAATTTTTAAAAATCAAACCAAATCAATAAACTGAACATCTACAGGCTGTGTAACACTGTGCTAAGTATAATGGAAAAACACAAAAAAAGTAAAATATCATACCTATTCTCAGAGAGTTTATAATCTAGTTGGGGAAAACAAGACACAAACATGTGGGATGTTAAATAATAATAAAAGAGTTAAATAATAGCCAGGAAAACAATGAAAAGAATGTTACAAGAAATTCAATTACTATACGAACTACCAAACAAACACTACAATTTGAGTTGAGACGGGAGACAAAAATAAGGAACAGTTTATAAAATGGAGCTGAGAAGATTGAGATGGGTAGAGAAAAAATGAGGGAAGAATTCCACGAAAATGGAATAATGACATATGCAAAAAGCAGAGCCAGGAAAAGGGTAAATTACAATTGGTGGGCATAATGTAAACTACAATTTGCTGATTTGTAGAATTGATACTATGAAAGGAAGACAGGCCTTCAAGGAAAACGCAGGATCAGACCAGTGGTTTCTAACCTGAGGTTCTTAGATTCTTAGATGGTGTTAATGATAGTCAGTGACCCATTCTAATTTTAATACCTCAAGGTAAAGCAATAATAGCATGTTTACCTGAAATAAGGTTACACATGTTAATATTTTATTAAGCTATTCTTACTGATTATCTCATGTTGATGAGAGCCTTATTTGGTATAGATCACTTTACTTTTTCATATTAAAAGTGAAAATGATCAATAACTAAAAATCTTTCAAACTACGGTAACCAGAGGAGGGAAAATGGACTATAGATGCTGAAACAGGTTATAACAAAATAAAAGCTTATATGCAACTTCAGGCTGTGATGATTGCTGGTATTCATTACTCTTTTTGCAAAGAAATGAAACCAATGAGGAATATGATACAGTAAAAAAGCAGTGTATCAAAGCTAGGAGGTATGAGATCTTTACAACAATAAGTAAAACAAGAAGCACCAAACAAAACAAATACCCCAGAATTTGAAAGAGGCACTGTTATTTGGCAACAGACTCATAGACAAAATATCGTGAGAGATGGTACCTTTATTGAGAAATCAGTACAGATAAAGTCATTTAAACTTTTTAATCACATTTTACTTTACTGATACTGGGTTTTGTGTTACTTACACTAACAGGCTGCTTCGTTCAAAAACTGTAGGATTTAGATTCAACACACTAATATATAATCTGTCTTAAATTTTCTTCATGACACTTTTAGCTTAAGTAAACCAACATATTATTCACAAGGTCTAATTTAAAGCAAACTTCCTGAACCTTTAAAGGTTCAGGAAGATATCTCATAGGTGCTAACTATAAAATTAACTTTTTCTTCAAGACATACTTTGAGACAAGTATAAATCGATTATGTCAATGTCAATAGAGCAGTATCTATATTTTCTCCTCTGGTATAAGAGAAGCAAAGTACAGGTTTCTTATTACTGGACAATAGTTTTCACCATCTCAGTAACACATGCTGCTCTCTATTATAGTTTTCTAGACCCATACTCCTCCATAGAAGGAGGAATGCTACAACTGCTAAAGTGTATTATGAATAAGAACCAAGTGTAATATTCATTCATTCACTCACACAAAAATGATCAGATTAGGTCTTCAATCAGGAGACAGATGACTGTGTTTATTGTTCCTTAGTTCCCAGCTCTCTCTCTTTTTTAAGCAAACACTAACATTCACCGTATTTGATTCACTGAATTTAGTATAGACTGCTAAGTAGAATAAAACACTATAAAGATTTTTCTGGCTGGGCTCAATGGCTCACACCTGTAATCCCAATACTTTGGGAGGTCCAGGTGGGAGGATTGTTTGAAGCCAGGAGTTCAAGACCAGCCTGGGCAACATAGCAAGACCCCATCTCTACAAAACATGAATAAATTAGCCAAGTATGGTGGCACATGTCTATAGTCTTAGCTACTTGAGAAGCAGGGGTGGGAGAATTGTTTGTGCCCAGGAGTTCGAATCTGCTATGAGCTATGATGGTGCCACTATGCCCCAGCTTGGGTGACAGAGACCCTGTATTTTTTTAAAAAATTTTTTCTAATCAAGTTCAGGGGCAAATATCACTGTATAGTCCTCATTTGGCTAACTCTTTGATCAGCTAGCTGTGCATACTGTTAAAAAAAAAAAAAAACAACTTTGCATGTACACAAACACACACAGACACAGTCCTGTTTTGCTCTTGTCCCACAGGCTGGAGTGCAAGGTGCCATCTCGGCTAACTGTAACCTTCACTTCCTGGGTTCAGGCGATTCCTTTGTCTCAGACTCCCAAGTAGCTGGGATTACAGGCATGCGCCACCACGCCTGGCTAATGTTTTGTATTTTTAGCAGAGGTGGGGTTTCACTATGTTGGCCAGCTGGTCTCAAACTCCTGACCTCAGGTGATCCACCTACCTCAGCCTCCTAAAGTGCTGGGATTACAGGCATGAGCCACTAGTTCTCCTGTTACAGTAAGGTTTAAATGTATTCATCTACACAGAATTCTGAGATTATAGAGTGAAGGAATCTTTAATAAAATGGATAATTTAAAACCTCTATGTATGACCTTATACTATTAAAAGAATACACAGAATTTTAGATAAGAAGCTGCTTAACAGAGAAAGAGTTTGTGTCATCTTTTAGCTTAAAATACAAATACCATGAAACAACTTTGAAAGATTGCCTGAAAAAAAGTCAATGAAAGGACACAATAACAAATACTGAAATACTAAAACTCTGGTTAACTGTGATTTTGATTCTACGTTGTTAGGTGGCTTAAAATTTCAAAAAGAGAACATGACTGATATTTGGCATCATACTTTTAATTTTGTAACATAATAAAATATGTGAATTAATCTGCAGTGACAACTTCTCATGGAATGAATCAAGCTGGAAATTAAATGGATTTTTGTGGAGGATTTTTATCTTCAAACATATTTGTACAAAAACACAGAACGGTTTGAATACTGAATCACTATAAAAGTTAAGTACATAATTATTAATTTTTTAATCTTTTTTTCTTTTTCATGTGAGATGAATAATGTGCCAATAGTATAGCAAGGTTTGAGGGAGGCATATCTCACAGATTAGTGTGAAGTCTCAATCTTACAAATTAAAAATGTTTAGCGTGAACATCTCAAGCTTATAAGCCACAAAAGAATCCACCCATATTAAGTTTTAACTCAATGAAAGCCAGTTCTGGTAAATTAGGCTATAAAAAACACAGAAAATAAAATTTACCATTTTCACTTTTCATGTCACTAATTTTAAGGAAGACGTTGCTTTTTATATTAAAACATTAATTTTAATTTTAAAGCACATAATTGTTTAAGAGAGTCCTTCTTCTTTTTAAGTTAGGATGAATTAAACCACATCCTGCCCATATATAAAAAACAAATTCCTTAAGCATCAAATTATTCACCTAAAAGTGGGTCAAATGGAACAGACAGTAAATAGTTCAGCAATTTATTAAAACAGCTTTCAAACATAAAGATTACAGAATACTTTTTAAATTCACAGTTTAATTTTGCTTTGTGACAACTTCTAAGTAATAAAAAAGTACAATCACTGCTATGTCTCAGAGTATTACAACCATTAATCTTTTGAATCGAAGTACTGCCCCCAATCAAACTATAATAAATAATTTATTTTCAAATGCTTAAATCCAGAAAGAACCACATTTTGCTTCTCTTGACAGTCCACATTTTTCATAGAGTGATGTGACTGGAAATTCCCCATCCTTCTAAGTTGTTACAAGAGCTGCCACTAACACTTTACACAGCATTTCAGTTTTGTTCTAGATAATATTTTCTATCTAATAGAAAATATACTGCAATTGGCCATTATTAAAAAATAAAGACATGACAATTACCTGCAAAAAGATCTTCTCTGTCATCATCTAGCACAACTTCTGTGGGTTTTGGGCCATTGGAGTTTGCACTAATATCTTCTGCAGGAAGACTAGCTGGTTCTGGAGATGATGGACTTGACTGTTAAAAAAGAACAACAGGTAATGATTGGCATGTTTATCTGTTGTATTTCTGTCACCATGTCCTACAGAAATAGAACATTCTCTTGATAAGAAGGGAGGTAAGCACAAGAACAGCTATTTATATTTCCTCCTCTGAGAGTAAGAATGAACTAATAACAAGCTTTTAATTCATCATCTTTCTTTCTTTTATTTTTTTGAGATGGAGTTTCACTCTTGTTGCCCAGGCTGCAGTGCAATGACGCGATCACAGCTCACCACAACCTCCACCTCCTGGGTTCAAGCAATTCTCCTGCCTCAACCTCCAGAGTAGCTAGGATTACAGACATGTACCAGCATGCCCAGCTAATTTCGTATTTTTAGTAGAGAGAAGGTTTCTCCATGTTGGTCAGGCTGGTCTTGAACTCCCGATCCCAGGTGATCTAATTCATCATCTTTCTTAACAAAAAGTCACTTGTGATTTAAAAAAGAAAATCTTTTTTTTTTCCTTTTTATTTTTTGAGACAGGGTCTCACTCTGTAGCCCAGGCTAGAGGGTAGTAGTGTGATCTCGGTTCACTGCAGCCTTAATCTCCCAGGCTCAAATGATCTTGGTTCACTGCAGCCTTGACCTTCCAGGCTCAAAGGACCCTCCCACTTCAGCATCCTGAGTATCTGGGACTAAAAGCAGACGTCACCATACCCGGTTAATTTTTTTTTTTTTTTTTTTTTTTTAAGAGATGGGGTTTCACCACGTTGCCCAGGCTCGAACTCCTGAGCTCAAGTGATCCTCCCACCTCAGCCTTCCAAAGTGCTGGTGTGTGCCAGCACCCCTGGCCAGAACCTTTTCTAGTCATCCTTTTAGAGGTACTAACTAGTTTGTCATGCTGAGTTATAATTGACAAAAACCAAATCTAATATTTTACACAGTCATATACAATAGAACCAAAACCATGTAACGGTCCTTGATTTTCAAAAATTCCAATTTTTTTGTTATTGCCAAGGTTTTTTTTTTCCCCTGGTGGGGGGGTGGATATACCCAAACATCAAAATTCCACATCACTCAACAGATCTTGAAAACATGTTGCATGTCCTAGAAGTTCAAAGCACTGCTTTACTATAAGAGGAAAATAATACTAGCTCAGTCAAGTCCAATTATTCTAAAATTTCTATCACTTCAAACTAAAAATACACCCTCTCAAGACATTTATATTTCATCTACACTAATGACTATGACTATTCTTGTACTTTTTTTTTGAGATGGAGTCTCACTCTATTGCCCAGGCTGGAGTGCAATGGTGCAATCTTGGCTCACTGCAACCTCCGCCTCCTGGGTTCAAGTGATTCTCCTGCCTCAGCATCCCAAATAGCTGGGATTACAGGTATGCACCACCATGCCCAGTTAATTTTTTTTATTTTCAGTAGAGACAGGATTTCACCATGTTAGTCAGGCTGGTCCTGAACTCCTAACCTCAGGTGATCCATGCACCCCGGGCTCCCAAAGTGCTAGGATAACAGGCGTGAGCCACTCTTATACTTCTTTAACCTTAAAGTATAATGATTAACAAAATGGAACCTAGATTGTGTAGCTTTTCTCTTTATTATGGTTTTCTTACAATACTTAAAATCAGGACTTTAAAAAAACTTTTTATTGAAATATAACAAAAAAAACTGTATACATCAAAAGCATACAGCTAGATAGTTTAAAAAACTCAACATACCTCTGCAAATGCACTTGGATCAAGAAAGACCATTACCATCAAACCTAGAAGCTCCACTTATGCTCCCTCCCTTTCTTTACCATGCAGGCTTCTTATTCCTAATTTTGCTCTTCATAAAACAGAGCCACACAGTATATATTTTTTGTGTTTGGTTTTTGGCCCTAATGTTACTATGTATGTAAGATTCTTCCATATTGTTCTGTGTAGTATCAGACCACTCATTATCATAAATGTATAATATTCCATTGTGTGAACACCATACTTGTGCCATTGTAGTGTTGATAAGCATTGAGTGGTTAACAGGTTTTTTTATCATTAATACTACCAATAGTGCTGCTATGAACTTTCTAGTTCATCATTTAGTGAACATGTGAACAAATATGTTTGTATAAACCCAAGAGTGGAATAGCTGGATCACAGGGTATATGAATGTTCAGCTTTAGAAGATGAACATTCAGCTTTAGAAGATATTAGTAAATGGTCTTCTAAAGTGGTTGTATAATTTTACAGTCCCACCAGCAGCATAGAAACTTTGTTGCTCCAATTCTTTGCCAACGTTATGATATATTCCATTTTTTTCCACTTTGCTATTCTAGCATGTAGAGCATGTATGACTGTGTTCTGAATTTGCATTTCCCTGATGAGTAATGATGGTGAGCAATTTTTCATATGTTTAAAGGCAATTTGGATATCCTTTTGTGAATATTCTCTTCAAATATTTTGTTAATTTTTCTACTGTTCTTATTAATTTGTAAAAGTTTTTTATATATTCTGGATAAAATTTTTTTGTCAGATATGTATTAATAATTTAGTCTCCCAACTTTTGGCTTACCTTTTTACTTTCTTAATGGTAGATTTTGCAATAGAATTTTTTCATTAAAGGCAAATTATACCAATTTTTTCTTTTATAGTTACTAAGCATTTTTTTTTTTTTGAAACTTAAGTTTCACTCTTGTTGTCCAGGCTGGAGTGCAATGGCACAATCTCCGCTTACTGCAACCTCCGCCTCCTGGGTTCAAGCAGTCCTCCTGCCTCAGCTTTCCAAGTAGCTGGGACCACAGGTGCCCGCCACCACTCCCAGCTAATTTTTTTCATCATGTTGGTCAGGCTGGTCTAGAGCTCCTGAACTCAGGTGATCCACCTGCTTCAGCCTCCCAAAGTGCTGGGAATACAGGTGTGGGCCACCGTGCCTAGCAGTTACTAAGCATTTTGTAGGATCAATAGTCTTTTGATGCCACTTTAATTAATAAGATTTTCTCATCAGCTTTTTAAGTAAACTATCCTCAGTGGCACAAAGATATCTCTTTAGAACATTCAAAAGCAGTTTCAAACCCTTATAGGAAAATTTAAAGAGACTTTCTTTTCTCTCAGGAGCTAACTCTTAAAGTCCCAAATTCTCACAAAAGTGGGCCTCCCTTTAACTTAGCAACTTTCACTTGGGAATTTAAAGAACAAGAAAGTTTATATATTATTTCCTCTGAAAGAGCTCCTAACAACCTTAACTGTAACTCTAGACAAGTCTGGGTGATTGGCCTATATGTTTCCATAGAATACCTATTTCTGTCATAATTTCTCTTACCATATTATAACTATATCTGTTTATAGACTGCAAGCTGTATAAGGAAAGGAAGAGTATTTCATCTTGTTCACTTCTTTTTACTCACTATCTGGCAGCAAAACACTCAATGACTATCATTTAATTGAGTTTTAAGAAAATGATGGAAATGTCAAAGAATTAACCACAGGTTTGTCAATCAGATGGTCTATACTGCTATAAAAATTAAAATGGCCTATAGTGCATCCACATAAAAATATGGCAGAGTGGCTCCAACATCTATTAATGATCAAAATTCTCAGTAAACTAGTAACAGGTACGCTGATAAAGAATTTCTCCAGAAAGCCTACAGCTAACATCATACTTAAGGGTGAGAAATTTGAAGCTTTTCCACTAGATCAGGAACAAGACAAGGATGTCCCCTTTTATCACTTCTTTTCAACATTATACTGAAAGTTCTAGCTGCATGAAGAAGACAAGAAAAGGAAGTATAAGGCAGACAGGCTGGGAAGAAGAAACAATAACTGCCTTTCTCTGTAGGTGACACAATTCAGAAATCCAGATATTTTCCCAAAGTCCTACTTCTCTCTAATCACACACATCTTCCATATCTAGCCAATTCCCATATCTTCCATCCTATCTCTCATTTCTGTGTATCTCCATTGCCACAACCCAAAACCATTTTTTTTCTGCCCAAAGTGAACAGTCTTCCTATCTTCTTCCCCAGCTTCCAGTATATTCTTCCTATTGTTACAAGGAAATCTAAAAATCTATGTGTTGCTCATAGTTCTTCAATGACTTCCCATTGACTATGGTCCAAAACCTAAACCCCTTTGCATGCATACAAGACTCATAGTAGCAAACTCTGTCTTTCCCATAAAGCCTCATCTGCTGCCACATACCATTTTCCTATGATTTGCATTTTATGCTCACTGATGTAATAAAAAATTGTTTGGAGTTCTCCCAACTTATCACACTGTATTTTATTTTGCTTTTGTAGAAAACAGAAACACAAAGAGATCAAGTTACTGCCAAGATGGAGTGTGGTAGTTAGCCCCCAAGAGGGTCTGCCCACAATGATCCCTACCTTCGAGTATCCATATCTTTGTATAGTACTCTCCCACAGCGTACCAACAGATTTGTGTGACCAACAGCACACAACAGAAATTACAGTATATCACTTCTGATATTAGGTTATAAATGACTGTGTGTGTCCTAACACTTTGGGAGGCCAAGGCAGGTGGATCACAAGATTGAGGACCATCCTGGCCAACATGGTAAAACCCTGTCTCTACTAAAAATACAAAAATTAGCCAAGCAGGGTAGTTTGTGCCTGTACTCAGGAGGTTGAGGCAGGAGATTCACTTAAACCTGGGAGGTGGAGGCTTCAGCGAGCCAAGATACTGCCAATGCACTCCAGTCTGGCAACAGAGCAAGACTGTCTCAAAAAAAAA